TGTAGTCAGAGTACTCCAAATGACACGTTGCACAAGAACGAGCGGTTAGAAAACCGTGCTACACCTATGAATGGGGAGACTTGACAGCTACAGAAGGTGTGGATCTGCTCCCAGGCGAACGGTTGCTTGACTTGGAGTATGCTGACAATGTTGCCCTAATCTGTGGCAGCTCACAAACGTGCCAAGTGGCACTGGACAGATTAGCACTAGCTGTCCGTCACTTCGGGCTTTGCTTCGCACCCTCGAAGTGCAAAGCGTTCCTCCAAAATTGGCCTGAACCGCCTCCTGCGATGACCCTTGATGAAGATCATCTAGAGTCGTTCAAAAATTCAACTACCTGGGAAGTTGTATCAGCGGCCCTGGGATTGTAGATGAGATCACGAACCGTATAGCAAAAGCTCGGGGCGCTTTTGCTAACTATCGCCACTTATAACGCCGGCGCGACATCACTCTCGCCCTGAAGGGCAGAGTTTACAATGCAGCGGTACGTTCGACCCTACTGTGCGGTTGTGAAACCTGGCCGCTTAAAGCAGCGGACCTGAAGAGGTTAGTTACGTTCGACCACCAGTGCCTTCGCAGTTTGGCTCACATCTGGTGGGAACACCGTGTGAGCAACGAGCGTGTTCGACGCCTTGTTTATGGCACAGGAAAAGGAAATGAACCGCTCAGCACCGTTATTTCACGCACCAGACTCCGATGGCTGGGCCACGTGTTACGCATGCCAGCCCACCGACTCCCGCGACGTGTGTTGTTTGCGCGCCGGGGATGTGGATGGAAGAAGAGGAGGAGTGGCCAAGTGATGATTTAGTCGAGAGGAATGAAGGCTCTCACTTCGAAGCTGGCCTCGGTTGGAGCGTCTCGGCTCCCTGGTTGGGGTCCGAAAGCCGATGAACACGTTTGGTTGGACACACTTGCTGATATGGCTAGGAGCCGACCTCAGTGGCGTTTGTGCTGTGAGTTTCTTTGTCTCACCCGATCCCTCTTAGCCTCCACCTCCAACCACGATCTCACTATTTAGCCTTATATACTTTTGCATAGTATTTTTTTGCTGCTTAGTAGCTGGCTGGTAGCTTACCGGAACGATGCCCATCCGTTACCGGTAGCTCATCTAGCTTGCACCAGTTGCTTTTTTCTCCTTTTTTCTTCTATGTATTGTGACACAGTAGCTGAGGTGTTTCCCACCTCTAGCTAACGTGTATGACGATGATGATGCTTGACAGTTAGAATTATCGTTTATGTGCCAATTCGCTTCATACTCCTATTAACCACTAGTGTATTGTTAGTGGGGCGGTAGCCGGGAATATTATGTAGTTTAACGCTTTTATGTCTCGGTACGAATGTTAGCTTTTTCAGCTGGTTTGGACGAATACTCAAAGACATTGACAAGATGATCAGGTCCACAAGTGGAAGCTGGATATCAGGACCATCAGAATTAATTGTTGTTGGGGGGCAATCATCCGGATCACAGCATGTGAACGGTTTGCTCCTAACATGTATTGCTCCACCTGACCCCATTGCAAGCATCGGTGCTGGCGGAAATTGCAGTCACGCTGGAAATGCTACGCACCTCATAATATGCACGAATAGTTTGGGAATTTCGCTCAGTCGAGTTGGGTGGACCGCGCAAAAGATTGTGGCTTGGGTGCGACAAAGTACTGGATCATAGCAAAGTCATGTTTCATCATCATTACACGTTAGCTGGAAGTGGAAAACACCTCAGCTATTGTGCCGTAATACAAAAGATAAGAAAAGGAAAACAAACGGTGGCACGCCCGCTGAGTCCCCAGTAACGGATGGACATCATTCCGGAGAGCTAACAGCTGGCTGCCGTAAAAGAGTCATATTATACCTATCAGGTGAGATCATGATTGGAGGGGGATGCTAAGCAGGAGGGGGATGGACAAAGGAATTCACAACACAAACGCCATTGGGGCCGGCTCCAAGCCATATCAGCGAGTGTGTCCAACCAAACGTGTTCACCATCCTTAGGACCCCAGCCAGGTAATCGGGATGCACCAACCGACGCCAACTCCGAAGTGAGGGTTTTCATTCCTCTCGACCAAGTCATCACTTGGCCTCCCCTCCTTCTCTTCCAACCGCACCCACAACGCGCAAACAATGCACGTCGCGGGAGTCGGTGTGCTGGCATGCGCAACACGTGGCCCAGCCAACGGAGCCTGGTGCGTGTACTAATGGTGCCTAGCGGTTCACTCGCTCTTCCTGCACCAAATACGCGACGTCGAACACGCTCATTGCTCACGCGGTGTTCCCACCAGACATGAGCTAAGCTGCGCAGGCAGCGATGATCGAATGTGACGAGCCTCTTCATGTCTGTCGACCTGATGGGCCAGGTTTCACAGCCATATAAGAGAGTTGAACGTACGGCTGCGTTGTAAACTCTGCCCTTCAGGGCGAGAGTAATGTCGCGTCTGCGCCACAGGTGGCGGAGATTGGCAAAAGCACCTCGAGCTTTTTGCTATACGGTTCGTAACCTCATCTTCAATCCCACGGGTGCTAATATAGCTGCCCAGGTACTTGAATTCCTGAACGACTTCTAGCAGATCACCACCAAGCGTTAGCGCAGGGTTGGGTCCCTGCCAATCTTGGAGAAGTACTTTGCATTTCAATGGAGCAAAGCATAGCCCAAAATGATTGACAGCCAGTGCTAATCAATCCAGTGCTATTTGGCATGTTTAGGAGCTGTCACAGATTAGGGCAATATCGTCCGCATACTCCAAGTCAAGAAGTCGCTCACCAGGAAGTAGCTCCACACCTTCTAGGTCGTGTCCAGCGAACGCTGTTTCCATGACTTCATCAATAGCGAAGTTGAAGAGGAAAGGCGACAGCGGGCATCCTTGTCTCACACCACTGGTGATACTGAAGGGTGGCGACAGTTTGCCGTAAACCCTCACCCTGCCCGAACTATGCGCGTACAGCGCTTTGATAATGTTTACATATTTATCAGGCACACCTTTCCTCAACAGACAGTCCCAAAGGGCACATCGATCGACTGAGTCGAAGGCACCTTTTATGTCAAGAAACACGACAACGGTGGGTCGCCAATAAACATGGCGGTGCTCCAACACTTGACGCAAGGTGAAGATGTGGTCAATGCAGCCGCGACTTTGACGAAATCCGGCTTGCTCTTCACGAATCTGGCTTTCACGAGTGCCAGTTAGTCTGTGGAGAATGACAAAGGCAAGCAATTTAGAGGTAATCGAAATCATGTTTGAGCTTGCTTGAAATCTGACACTCTTCGATCAGCTTTTGGAGTGGAACCCTTTTTTCCATCTGCACCTTGGGCAGGAGGTGCATTCAGATGTCGGCATCCTGGGCGGACTGGAGCTCAGAGATGGAAACCAGACACTTGAACTGGTCTTCTGTGAGGGAGCGAAGCTGGTATCGTTCGCATACCCGATTGACAATTCCCGCATAGTTGATGAATTCCTCGACATCACACTTGGCCAGCTGGAGGCATTGGAACCAGGAGTTGAACGAAAAGGCCTGTTCACCAAAAGTGGTCAAGGGTCCGTACCGTGTCACCAAAGGTAACATCTCGGAGCTTCCTCGGCAGGAGGTAATTGGTTTCACCGTGATGTTCAGCGGTGCGCAGTTTCCGAAGAGGCATCCGGACTTTCCACGCATCATCCTGAGCTGCCAGGTCAATGGTGAATATGTCTTCGTAACGCTTGTCCCAAGCATCGATCGTTGTGCAGTCATTTCGTGCCGTACAGGAATTCCGAACTTCTGCCAACGCAAACTCACCTATCGAGAACTTACACCCAAGCCTGACTGAGTGAAAGAACTGGGCAGTTTGTCGATTAATACAGACACCCATTTGAGCTCTTTCGGTAGCATCTGCCTATTCGTCTGCCATGGTTCGAAAAAAAGCGATCTCTAATTGTTGTTAGACGCACTCAATTAAACGTTCGCTTGAGGTCCTTTCCAAGCTTCGAGTAGGCGATTACGCAATTTGGGTCAATTACGTGATAACGCATGTGCGAACCCTAACCGCCGTCTATACGATGACGGAATCCTGCCAATCGAGTGACACACGCAATCCGAGACGAACGTGACGTCCACGATCACACCCGGACAAATGCGAGAGACAGAGAGTAGAGGAAAGACAGATCTTTCGCACTAGTGCTTTTACTGACTCCACCGAAAGGCAATACAAGTAGAGGCTACCTGTAGCTCGGGGTGTGGATAAGAGGATTGTCCTGTTCTCCGAGCCGGGCATTTCGGTTGCAGACGTTTCGTTGACAAACTAGGCAACATCTTCAGTGCGGCTATTCAGTCCTGATTCGCGGTTTCGCAAACCAATGTCTGATCCGAGTGACTATTGATTGTTGCCTACTTCGAATGTCAGCCTTCGATCTGTTCACGTGAGTTGGTCGAGTGGGCACCTGCAGAGCTCTGCAGGTTAAGCCAGCATTAGGCACCAGATCGACAAGGAGAAGAGGTGCCCACTCGACCAACTCACGTGAACAGATCGAAGGCTGACATTCGAAGTCGGCAACAATCAATAGTCACTCGGATCAGACATTGGTTTGCGAAACCGCGAATCAGGACTGAATAGCCGCACTGAAGATGTTGCCTAGTTTGGCAACGAAACGTCTGCAACCGAAATGCCCGGCTCGGAGAACAGGACAATCCTGTCACAAGTAGAGGCACCTTGTTAGTTATAGTTATATTATTCACTACGCCGAGCGTTGGTTTTAACGGGACGAATTTGTTTATGTGACCCTGCTGCATCGTGGTTTGGAAGTCGCGTCTTCGCACTGCGATTGCCACCCGGTATAGCACTTTGTCTGCACAAGCGAGTATTGGAATCCGTGCAGCGGGTGGGTACCTTCGTGGAATAAAACGACATTCCCGCAACAATGCAGCCGACATAGCTCTCCTTAGGTCATATCCGACAGCTTCCGACCTATGCTCTCACTACTGAATGGGATTTTACGTAGCGTTGCCTGTTTCAGCAGGTGCATTACAACTTCAAAATGCAGAATACTGTTGCAAGACAGAATCGACACGCCATTGGTTCTTGGTATCAGAGAGTATCTACTGGAATTGCTAGCTGTGTCGCTTCTATTGGTCACACCAATGAAGTAGTTACTTTGCGTATCAGCAAGGCCCGTCTTGCTTTCCAGAGACACAACTATCCATGGAGACGGCAGGATATCAGCTTGTCAGTGAAAGGTAGGGGGTTTAACACTGCAATAAGGCCAGTGTTGCTGTATGGATCGGAAACATTAAACGATTGGCGTGGTCTCACTGTGGGGTATTACCCACATCAGGTGGGCACACCGGGTGTGCGATGCTGGGGTCCGTCAGTTGGTTTTTAGTCAGAAGCTTTCTATTCCCTCACTTGGGTTTTTACTAAAGTTCAACCGCTTAGGTTGCCTAGGTCATGTTCTCCGTATGCCCGTTGGCCGGCTTCCTCGGGTTGAATTGAATGCCGTCGCTGCTCCAAGTTTGGCTAAACCGCAGAATGGCCAGTAGCCGACGTAATCTATAGAGGCATGACACAATTGACCGCGAGACTTTGTCAGACTATTGCCAAGTGTCTTCGTGAATGGGGTTCCGGGATGATCCACATCATTAGCTGAACTCAAGTGATGCCCATGTACTCTTTAGAACGCAGTTGCTGTTCTTCCGGCTGCTTTCTTCTCTCTCGCCCGCATCCCAACTAATTTTTTCCTTGTTTCTATTACTATTAACGTATCGATGTGAATTATGGTAGCGATGACCAATCGTGTCGTAATCGACTAACCGAACTGAACTTTTGTCATCTCTAATGATGGCCTCGATCAGCGGTTCACAATCTTTATGTGGCACGGCAAATTCACGCACTCAGTAGCTTTGTTGAGTGCGGTCTCTTTTTGAGTGTTTAACGTTTACACTCTGTAGTTTTAATTTCCCATACATTTTTGCCCGCAGGCTAGCTTTTTGACGGACTGTTCTTTTTGCTCTCGTTACCTTTGCGGCACCTTGTTCCACTTAACTTCTGTAGCCTGATCATCGCTGACTAACTGAATGGAGCTGCCCTCATTATTGCACTGAACTTACGCCTCCTCTCTTTCGCATATTTCAGCTGGCTTTCATCTTACCCCAATGTTTTGCTCTGTTCGTGGTCTGCTCCACACCGTCAGCGCTACCATCGTGCTTCCTTGCCGTTCCTACAAGTCTGTGATTAGCACTTCTCTGCCACCTAACCCAAGCGGTCGTGAGGCAGGAGCTCTCCGTCTTTTGCTGACACTGGAACGGGTTCAGCTGGATCTTTCTTCGCTCCAGAATGCAATCAGAAAAGAGTTCTTTGCCGAAGTAGACGGAAATATCGCCGTTGTTGATTCTAATCTGTTGAAAAAGATTATGAGAAGATTCAAACTATCAATTGCTGTGGTAAGCTGTTTGTGTTCTGCTTACCCAGGGTCAGTTGTAACTTGCCTTTTCTCTCGTGGTATGCATTTATTCGTCTTGCTTCATAGTCCGACTGCTTGTTGCTGTCACCAACTTGTAGAGTTCAGCCGGTTGCTCACTTTCGTGCCTTTGGATTAGAAGCGATAACCACATTGGGTCAGTAATCTGATAATTCATAGGAAAATGGCAAGATAATTGCAATTGTTGTTGACCACTTGTCCAGTTCACCTTCCATGCCAGGTTCCACTGTGTGCTTCGCTCGAGACAACACGAGACATGACTCTCATCCGTCGTCAATCTCGTGTTTGTTGTCGTATCTTAAGCTAGTTGCTTGCTCATGGTTCGTATGATGCTGAGCTATTTGTATGGTGAGATTGATCCGACGTAAGGCAATGAAATCTACAACTGTCCATCTTGGTGATTAACCCATGTTGATGCTGCTGCTCCTCGTGCGCACACCAAGCAGCACACCAGGACCGGTACAAACTTGTAGTACCGGACTTGAAGCGGGTCGCTCACCAACTCTGTTTCGAACGGAGAGTAGGGAATGTATGGAACGACTTAACACCTGTCGTCAAACCAAAGTTCGTGTCGGAATTCAAAAATTCCTGGACAAACAATTTGCTGACATGAAATCTCGGAAGCCTCACTAACATTGTACCTGAAAGTTCTTTAGTTGCAGCTACACAGAGATATCACTTCTTGCTGTTTTTATTGTAAAACTACTTACGCTGCGATGACAAGAAGGTCATTTAGAACTGTTAAGCGGCAAAACTTTCCAGTGGAAAACACTGCAAAGCTCAAATCGATGCTCTGTTCAACTGATTTCTCATTATCGCCAATGAGGATCTATCATCATCATCATCATCATCAATAAACTTTAGCTTTGGATGAGAAACACACTACGACCAATGTGCCGCAATACACAAAAGATAAGATGATGAAACTTAGACTATAGTGAACTAAAAAAGCAAGCAATATAATGTTGCATATCATGTTATGTATTTGTTATGAGATCTTAGTTGGAGAGGGAATCTGAAGTAAACTGGGATGGACAAAGAAACTCATAACACAAACGCCATTGGTGCCCGCTGTTCTCCGTATCAGCCAGTACGTTCAACCAACCGTGTTCATCGTCCTTCCCACCCCAGCCTGGCAATAGGGATGCACCAACTGACGCCAGCTTCGAAGTGAGGACTTTTATTCCTCTGGGGCAATTCATCGCTTGGCCTCCCTCCTCTTCCATCCAAACCCTGGGCGCGCAAACGACGCAGCGAACGACATCAGCCATTGTACTCGCTTTTTGTTGATTTCACCAAGGCATTTGATACGGTGAACCGCGAGGCATTGTGGCTGGTGTTGAGCATGCTTGGTTGTCCGCGTAAGTTTCTAACTTTAATTGCATGCTACACAGTGATATGCGGGCGAGGGTGCAGCTGAGTGGGCAGACCTCGGATGACTGCTGTTGTCTCTGGTGTGAAGCAAGGCTGTGTCTGCTTCTGCCCTGTTTAATATTTATCTTCCTGCCATGATGTCTTGTGCTTTTAACGCGGTTTGTGCTTACAGTGTTCGTGCGGAGCCCCGTATTGATGGTGGGTTGCTGAACATCCGTCGTTTCTGTGCGAGAACCCTAGTTTGTGAGACATCTATCCGTATGTTGCTGTTTGCCGACGATTGTGCGTTGTTTGCACACAGCGCGGATGAGTTGCAGCACATGACTAGTGCTCTCGCTTCGACAGCTGCCGAATTCGGGCTCACCATCAACACAAGCAACACTGTCTGTCTCTTTCAGCTTTCACCAGAGGTGCAACCTGCAATATTGCCGCGAATCAGCATTGGTGCTGAAGTATTGGAAACCACCTCCCGCTTCTGCTACCTTGGGAGTGTGAAGTCGACTGATCAGCAGCTACATAGTGAGCTGGGTATCCGCGTGTCGAAGGCAGCGGCGACATTCTGGAAGCTAGAGTACCGAGTGTGGAACAACCATCAGCTTACCATTGGCACGAAGCTGATGGTTTTAAAAAATCAATGGTGTTATGTGTTCTTCTATACGGTAGTGAAACGTGGACAATGTACTGGCGCGATGTGCGATATCTCGAGCGGTTCCACAAACAGTATTTACGACGGATTCTGCACATCGTATGGGGCGACAGAGTTGCAGACACAGAAGTGTTGCGTCGAAGTAGAATGTATGCCTTGGACTGCATAATTTTGGTGAGACACCTGAGGTGGCTCGGTCATGTGAGCCGTATGGATTCGACGCGGATACCGAAATAACTATTAGCTGGTCAGCTGAGTATTGGGAATCGGTATATGGGGAAACCAAAGTTACGTTACCAGGACATGATCAAAGTTAGTCTTTCACGTTCTAATCTTGATTGTGGATCATGGGAATCGGAGGCTGTTGATCAGCGTGCATGGCGCGATCTGATCACGAAGGCAGTTGCCGAAGTGCGGGAGAAAGACCTCATGCATGCATAGAAGAGGCGGCAAGCACCAATTGGTTGTACTCCATCGACATCGAGCGCATGGTGCTGTAGCACATGCGGTCTCGCTTTTGTGACGTTTACTTAACATCTTTTTTCTGACGTCTTTAACTTATCGCGGATTTGTTGGTAACCAATTTCTTTTATGCGCCCATTTAGTGAGGAGTTATGTCACCATATCTTTATGCACTATTGGATTTATTTTATTTCATCTTCTCGTTTGAAGTGTTTGGCTGTTGCTTGATATCCCCGGTGTGGTTGCGCTTGATGTGCATGTTGACAAGGTGCCTACCTGTCTCTTACCCACTACCTCGTCCATGCTGGCTCCAGGAGACAGTTGTTCGTTGCTGGAGGGGACGGGGTGCACGGTCCTTGTGGCCGTGCTAGGCTCGAAGTGTGGTTCCATGCACTCAATGTGGAGCGGACTACGGTGCGGGCACCGCCTTGTGTGCGCTTGATTCCCCAAATACAGCATGCTTGTGTTTGCCTGTGAAGGAGTGTGGGCCGGCTCTGTTGATGTAACGTGGCTCCCATTCACATGCCTTCCGGTCTTATTCCTTCGGGTTTACACGGGATATGGGGTGTGTGGATGGAGCTGTGTGCGGTGGAACGCAAGCCACCCATGGTCCCTCTGTAGGAGCAGGCGTCCTGTGACTGCCTCCAGTGACAGGCGAATCCGATGCTGCTGACACTATATATATATATATATATATATATATATATATATTCAATACTTTTCTAATTACATTAAAATCGGCTGTGTGCCACATCACATACACGTGAAAAACGCTTGGGTGAATGCCAAAATGGCAGTTTGAGAGTAAGCTTCTCACTGCAATTGCACCATTGCTTAGGGTCTTGCCCATATCCCGTAACCTTCGCAACTATATGTGCACGGGATCCTTTGGTCACCAACTCAGTATTGGTAACGCGCAACAACAGTCTTCTTCGATGTTTGGACCTTATCGCATTGAATTCAGGCTTTACACCAGCCTCCTTGTCATCACATCCATCCCACGCCTTCTCTTACCATACAGGACACGTCTTGGCAGCGGTTGGGCTATGCAAAGCACATGCCCAGGCTAGCGTAGCCTTCGCAGCGAAAGTATGCTGTCGGTTTTCGGCAGTTTTTTTCAGCTTTGAAGACTTGCGGACGGGCTTCCTCATAGCTGATGTGATGCTGCGATCGAACACCAGCAGTGCTTCGCAGGCAGCGGCGATGGAAGACAATTAGTCGCTGTACATCAATTTTGCGGACTGGTTGTCTCACAGCCGTACGGAAGAATCGCTCTTGTCGCAGCATTGTAGACTCGTCCCTTGAGCGCGAGGCTTTTGTCACGACGAAGCCACAGATGACGAAAGTTACTGTTAGCTACTCTAACCTTGGAGACACTCAGGGAGATCTCATCTGTCAAACCGCCAATACCAACAACTCCCATAGTAAATGAATTTGACCACTTCCAGCAGATGCCCTGAAGGGTTGAGAGATGGAGATGCACTTGACCAGTCCTATAACATGACCTTACACTTGGATGGGGCAAAGGTCTACCCAGCTTGGGAGGCGGACATCTCCAGTCTAATCAGCACATGCTGGGAGGACTCACAAATGACAGCGATGTCATCTGCGTACCTCAAATCTCGAAGCCGGTCACCCGGGAGCAGTTCAACGCCTCAGAGCAGTTTCCAGGACCTCGTCCATGGCGAAGTTGTAAAAGTATGGAGGTTTTAGGCAACCCTGTCTAACGCCAATGGTGATATTGGGGGTTGGAAGCGAAAATTCTCTGTATACTCGCACGATAAATGACACGGAGAGTGCTGTTTTAATTCTCAGGTACTCCCCTTTTCAGTAAGCATGGCCACTGACAACAGAGTCAAGCACGGCTCGGATGTCCAATAATATCACTATGGTTGGTCGACTGAACGTATGGCAGTGTTCAAGTATCTGGCGGATCATAAACATGTGATAGACGCAGCTGCGACCCTGGCGAAACCCAGCTTGCTGTTCCCGTACGCAACTGAGCCTCCGCAATAACTAAATAAATAAATAAATAAATTGTATATGGCTCGACGATGCGAGAAGGCGTTCCCAGAGGGACGGATCAAATCATGGTACAGCAGTTTCATATCATGGTATAATGAATTTAAAAAAATGTGAGCACAAAAGGAAAATTTGTGTAGCGCGAAGCGGTCCAAAATATTTACATTCTTCTTGTTCTATTGTCTGACAAGTTTTTGGCAGTCCCATGAGAGCTGATCGCACACGAAAAAAGGGAGAAAATAAAGTGCTGCGGGCCAACAAAATATAACCACTTGTGCACTTGACCACATGCATTTTCAGCCACCATTAACTCCGTTCTCAAAAGTGTTATCTAAGGACTGTGCTGTTCGAAACATTATTATCACATTTTGAACGGTTTAATGATCTTTTATCGAAAGCTTAAACAAACGCAATGTGCAACAAGTTCTGATAGCTCTTGGAAGTTTGTTCCAAAGCTTTGAGCAGTGTATTAAGAAGAAACGCTCCCTAATTCGCGTATTGAACTTTGGAATCATGATCGTTGTCTCCTTATTTCGTACCTCGTATCTACTGTTAACGGACATATGGACACAGTTAGCATAATTGTGCATGTGATGGTGAATTATTCTGTACAGGAAACACAAGTTCATCTTCATTATCCGTAACCAAAGTGGGTCAAGTCCAAGTTTTTCACTGCGCTCTCTGTAGGTCATCTTGGAGGAATATCCGCACAGCTTCTTTGTAAAGCGTCGCTGTACCCTCTCAAGAGCATGCTGGTCAGATTTCCGCAGATTCGACTGTAGTAGTGAGCAGTATTGCATGCCAGGTAACACATATGTTTTGTAAAGCCAGATACGAGATTCTGTGACTTGTTTATGACAGATATAGCCAATAGTCTTCATGGCTTTCGAAACTTGGAAGTCACAATGTTCCGAGAAGTTGAAGGTAGTGGAATACCGCACACCCAAGTCGCGAATCACTTTGCACTGTGATATAAACGTGTCTTGTAATAATAGACTGCCTGGTGGAACTTCACATTTGTACGACAGAATATTACACTTGTCCACGGAAAAGCACATCTGCCATAGTTTGCACCAGGATTCAAGTGCCGGTAGATCTTCCTGAATGTGGCACAAGGCTGCGCGGGTATCTGCACGTTCTTGTGAGTAGACGATTTTAATGTCATCAGCAAACAGCAAAGTAGCACCATGTCTTATTCTATGAAATACATCGTTGACGTAGAGGAGAAAAAGAAGTGGGCCAAGTACACTTCCCAGGAATTACTCCACTGGTGACTGCTTTCGGTTTAGAGACACGGTCCCCAATACGTACCACCTGATGTCTGTCAGCTAGGTATGACGACAACCAAGAAAACATTGGTTCTCCAATACCTATTTCCTTCCGTTTGGGGAGTAGTCTTCGATGCGGCACTCTGTCAAATGCTTTTTGCATGTCTAAGAACAGGACAATAACACTGTTGCCTTTGTCTATGGCAGCCGTTGTGTGGTTTAAGAAGTCTGTCGGTTTGGATTCGACACAGATGAGGCTGATCTCTCAATGATTTGATTTGGTCTCCATTCTTGTATACAGGTACAACATCCGCTGGTTTCCAGTCGGATGGGATGGTTTCAGTAGTACAAATCTGATGAACTAGGGATGTCGGTTCACGGCTGAGAGCGGGACCTCCATATTTAAAGAGGGCAGAAGGAAGTTCATCTGGTTCTGGTGACTTGTGACACTTTAGCTGGCGAAGCTCTTAGGAAACCCTGGCCTCAGTCCGTGCAGAAACATCCATGCATCACTGAGAACTGTGACTCCCGGAAGATGAGACAGTTGTATAACTCTACCCATTAATCCTAATCGATTTTCCTTTGGGGCTACATTTGGTCCCCCTTTCGTCTACCCTCTTCGTTCTTTGTATCACCGTTCATTATTTTTCCATCAGGCTGACAAAAGCGCTGGTCCACCTCTGTTTGTGCTCACATCAGAGTTCGTGAAGCAACCACAGGTTGCAGGAAAATATGCTGCGAATCTCGGCAAGAATGAGAAAAGCAAATTGATTCGCATTGGCACCAACATCGACGACCACATGCTCTCCGTTCGCGTGAAACAAGCTGAGGCACTGATTCGAAGCGGATGTGTGGTGTTTATTGTTCTCAAATTCGCTAAGAATAATTCAGCACGCTTCTCACCCACGACATTGTGTGACGGGAAAAAGGTGCCTTCCAAAGAGGATTCTACGAGCGAGGTGAGTGCTTCGTTCTGATTCAGTGCTCCAAAAGAATACATATTATTGCAATGACGCTAATGAAGACGCGTGTCTAAATCACCGAACTCATTGATGTCGATGTCTTACTCTCTCACGAGCGAAGTTACTAATGGTTTTAGTAATTCTCATTTATATCTTATGTATTTTGCATCAGTCTATAAATAGACATTGAGCCATCGGAAACCATGGAACTCAAAACAAGGTACAGAAATAGTAAAAGAAAACACAACACAACACATCAAAATCCATGGTTTCGTCAGAGGGCGAGGTACTACCCGGTTGCCCAAGCCGAAGTAGGGTGTTGACTTAGGGCACACCACCCCGAGCCTTTGGCTGAATAGCCTGTCCGCAAGGCAACGGAGCGAATTCAGGGAATCGCGCCCATTGGGAGCCGGTGACTGCTCAGTTCATACGCCTTTCGTTTGTTCTTTTGTCAAACAGGGGCCCAATGCTCCCCAAAATTACTGCATAGACTTGCTGGAATACAATGCTTCGCCAGGATGAAGCAAGGGGCAGTGACTTTATTTAGTGGCGAGTCACGTCCGCCACGTCACACTGTTGTTAAACGGACATATGTGGCTTTTTATAAGGAGAACGCTTGCCACGCGAAAACCCACCACGTCCTGGAATACTGCCGCCGAACCATTTGCTGGAACGGGAGAATCCCGAACCACCCAGCTGGCACCACGATGAGGTTGTTCTGGTGCTATCTCAGGGACCGAGTTTACAAGGGTTCACTTCGAAGTGGATCACGACCGCAATTGCGATCGCGCTACCTTATCCACACACGCAATGTGTGCTTCAATATGACACCTCCAATCAGTCAATCACAGTTGTGACAAGCATTGTCCATCGTGACTCGGTGGGTAGAGGGGGGTAGCGCGATTTAGCCTCACACCCCAATTGCTCCGGGTTCGCATGACTGCTGTCTACCTCATGAGATCAAATCAGATCGAACTGCATGGTGAAGTGCTGCGTCTTCGGGCGGGCAACACCCACTATCCAGATGCTTCATCCGTTACGCT